CCCCCCAGGATTACACGCAGGAGAGAAGGAAGAGGAACTCTGCACCAAGTTCATTCATATATACGTAAAATCGTCAACCTATCCGCAGGTCGAAGCATCGACAAGTCGATCCTTAAGCCAGGATCAGCCCTCGAAGATCGAGCTGCAAGTAAGGCAAATCACTATGCGGGAACTTTCAACCCGTCTAGATCTACCCTCCTTACTGCTGTTTTTTCATCGAATGGTGGTCTTGGCAAAGGCACCAATCGACTCATCGTTGCTATCGCCAACCACTTGGCGCACGAAGCTTTTTGCCGGGGAAATTTTGACGACGAGAGGGCCTTAGTTCGCCTGAAAGCTTTTCATACTAACAGGATTCGGAGACGGTTTACCTTCGAGCTAGCTCGTTTTCTGTCGATGCGAACTCGCGATGTGTTCAAACGTCATGGGCTACTGATCGACCAACTTCCACCAGGGCCAATCGGTTGGGATCTCTGCGACAACGATAGTAGTGAGGGTAATTCTTTTGGGAGTGACGGAGACGAAGGAAAGGTAAAGGGGAGAAAGGAGGACGAAGACGACGATGGAGGAGGAAAACATGGAGGAGTGAAAGAGAGCAAAGGGTTTGAGCCAGATGACCTTCTCCAAAACAAAAAATGTAGGGCTAGGGAAGCACTGCCCAAAGATTCTTGTCAACTTGAGGATCAGAATGATGGTAGCGAAAACAAGGAGGATAATGGTGAAAGTACTCCCAAACGAACTCGAGTACAAGGTGATAGCCTTGGTAGACGCGTGCAGTTTCTTCTGTTGCTGCTGTTTTCGTCTTTGATTCGAAGGATAGTTGAGCCTCCCCCATGCTGCCCTCTCACGGGGTCCCAGTTCATGGCAGATGGAAGTGTTTTGTGTTTTCAACCGCACTCAGACTGACGTCTTTTCATTGGTCAGCCGGTTAGCGCGGTCGATGCTAAAAATAGAAATACACACAAACGTGTCGCTACCTCATATGCCACTCTGAACGGGGAGATGCCACTGACTCGGAGCATTCTTCACGAGTGCAACACTGCTCTGTGTCAGATTTGGCAGTCGTGCCACGGTTACTGCTCCCACCGTCATACTAGTACAACATTTTCTAAATATTCCAAGGTCGAAGACTGTCATGCCTAACGCTATTGATCGCCAGGAAAGCGGCACGAGCCAAGACATTGCGTGCTACCGTGTGCGAAGATGGCAACATCCGGTTCATTTTGGGGTCGCAACAGGTGGGCTCCGTGTATTGTGGCGAATAGGGTCATCTTTAGACCTGATGACGCGCCCCTCCGAATACTTGAAAATATTTCGCACATGGCCAGAGAACGGGGCAGTAACTGCTTGGACACAATCAAGCCCTTCGTCTATGCAAGTTGGTCTTATGCTGAGTGTGCGCCGGAAGGGTGTCTCTTTTCACTTTCTTAATGACTCTTAAAGAACATGGGACAGACAGAGACAGGTACGCGCAATGTACGTAAGTATCAATGCACGAAGAAAGACGTAACGTGGCTGCGCCGACTCACGGGATTGTTTTTGGCACTATATTTTCTCTGTGCATACATCTGTGTAGTAATGGTGCGTTTCGATGAGTAACAACGACCGCACGGTGGTGTACATGTGTTCTGTATCATTTGGACAACATCTTGCTGGTCTCCCGACGTCAAAAAGGTTTCGAAACGCCTTGTGCCTGTCTGGTTTAGGAAACATTTTGTTTTCGGCCTGCTGGGGGGGGGTATGTAGTGTTGGCTAGGGAAAAAAGTCGTGTACCCTTGACTACCGCAGCATCTTGGCTGATGATCTTGAAGCGATTTGGTCCCGAATAAGATCTCATCTATCGTGGAGGCGAAATTCCACATTATTTGCCCATGACATGATTTTCCCATACCGATCTACGCAAGATCTGGACATCGCGCGCACCGAATGAACGTTCGTCCGAAACGCCAAGAAAAGGTCCACACGCAATCGAGACGAAGGTAGGAACCAGGGAAGAACGCGGTACGATCTAGTATTGCCGGACAGACAAGGTGGGGACAGGGCGTATTGCTGTTCCAATAGTTACTCGTCTGACTTTCAACAGCTGCCAAAGGATAACGAATGAATCATTTGGGGCAGGGACATGAGTCCAGGAAGGCTCACCCACCTCCCTGCAGTACATCACCTATTTAAACTTGACTGAGTTCGCTTGGCATATTCCCTGCCGCATTTGAATTTCATTCACAAGAACGCAGCACCCATACATTGTAGCCAACACACTCCGGAGCCTGCGCGCTCCAAGAGAAGGTTGCCGCAGTCAAGAACATTTATTCTACAGTTGCTAATTTACTGTAGCAGCGCCATATTGTACCTCATCTCCGGTCGTCTGGCCACAATAGTCTCGTGCACCAGGCGGAATCAGTCCGGAGCTTCGACCTTCAAGACGAACTACCACTCTATACGGTCAGGCCATGAATGAATGACTCTAAATTAATGAGGCGACTGGATGCGCTCGAGTACATACTTCATTGTGTAGATGTACAGTACTATTATTTGGTGTCTTACGTCTGCAGGCTGCGCAATCAACAGCGTGCGGAAGGCTTCTGCTGATTGACTCAGACTATTGTAGCTTCCTCGTGCGAACTTGTGAATCGGCTGGTGCGATGGTGCGATGGTGCGATGGCGCGTTGGTGCGTTGGTGCGAAAAAGTGAGAACTGGACCAGGTGGGAACGTGTTCTTGGTTTGTTGAGAAAAAAGGCTTTCTATTTACAAGACCGACCATGGTCGTTGGTGCATTTGTGCGTTTGTCGATCGGTTGTATCTACTTGGCTTTAGACGCCGGAGCTAGCTTTTCGTTTGAGGCCTCATGACTCAACACCTCTAAAAGCGACACCACAGCAGCCGATCATCGGGAGCAAAATTTGCTAAATCCGCACTGCATGTGTCCTCTTTCCGTGCCCTGGCCAGACGACCGATGATACGGGCGGGTTGGACATCGCAAAGACATCCTAGGACGCATTGGAAAAACCAACATTTTGAAACGGCACGTGACAACGAAAACTACCAAGCGAGACTACGGTAAAAAATGCACGAGGTGGGTAGCCGTTTGTATCCGCTCGGTGGAGCGAAAGGCATGTCCGAACAATAGACTGCCCTCCGAGCATCGATCTTGCTCGTTGTGTCTCTCGTGATTTCCTCTGTTCAGTATGCATGCGTGCATGTACGTAAGTCCTTCCACCTGCACAGGTCACAGCCTCAAGAACCCTGCACACGAAGCTCATACATGTAGTCTATGTAGTCTAATGATCCCTCGGGAATGGGTTCACGAGAGCACGGTTTCATCATGGACGGGATGGTGCAGCATGACAATTAAAAGCAGGCAGTAGGAGGAGCAGCCCCCAGTTGTTGTGAAGTGGCGTTCCAAAACCTCAACAGCTCACAACTGACGTACGTACGAATACGTGCTTCTGCTTCGGAAAGCCCCGCGAACCTCACCGAAACCGGAAATAAATCTGCCCAGCGGTCGTCTTTGCTATGTGTACGTACTCTGGAGAATATGTATAACCGTACATTTTATACATTGGGTATTAATAGCCCGCGTTCGATTACCCCACGGAGGAAACGAGAAACAACTGCCTCGGGCACAATGCATTGCGCGCGCTTCCTGCACCCCCATACGAAGTTGGCTCAACCGCCGGCACCATACGGATATGTGTATATCCTGCGTAATGTATCGGAGCAGTTCATTACCCGAGCCCAACTGTTCAGAAGGGCTGCTGCTGAGCACACCTATCGTGCTGGTGTCTCGTCATGTTTACATACAGTAGTTTTTGAGTTTTCCAAGGCTCACTTTCTGTAAAGTTCTGAAAAGTGGTGGCGCACATGCATTCTGCTATACACGATCATTACAAACGCCAACATTATTTTCAACATTTAGAGATCATCGCTGAACATCAGCTTGGTGAAATACTCGTAAATACTCATCGCATGATATTGAATAGGCGGGCACTGTTTGTAGTGGTATACACACACACCTGGGGTCGTTCACCCGTCCGTGCTCAGGAATGAGCTGAAGAAAAGGAAGTTGTTCCATAAGATCCCAAACGCGCATACCTCGTGTTCTGCTGTGGAGGTGTGCGCAGCTTGCTCCGGGACATAAAAGGTAGACAAGAAACGTCAATTTCGTGGCGAAGCTCAATCCACTAACATAGCACATATCGAACAAAGAATACCTATTGGTGCCAAGGGTTCACAAACAATAGAATTATTCCACACCTAGGTGCCCAATAAGTGTTGAAGATTTGCGGGGCGGGGCGTACTTGTACTCGTGTTTCGCATGCCCTAGTGGCTAGACTGCTGATCACGCGTCCGCGAGAGAACGGAGGGTTGTTCCCACAGGACCGATCGCCGATGGCCAATCGTTCCTTCCTACTTCGCCAGAGGTGGTTCGACTGTACTCCTTATTCCGTCCAAATCATTTTCCTCCTGCTTAGGCCGCTCCTTGTACTCCACGTAACCTCCTGAGCAATTCCACCTGTCAAACTTCTCCCCCTTATATTTGTGCCAGCCCGGTTATCTCTGCTTTCGTAAAACGGGCATTCCGCCTATTATTAACCCGGCCTTCGCACTCGGAGCCGTGTTCGCAATTGAGCTCTTCATGGTCTTCGTCTACTTTCCCTAATCTCCGCCTAGGACCCAGGAACCTACGGGGGGATCACACTGTTGAACACAGTAGGAAAAGTGCTCTGTAAGCTGCTGAACGATAGGATAGTGGGAGTATTGGAGAAGGAACATAGCGTTAGTGAGGGCCAGGCAGGTTTCCGAAAGAAGAGGGGGTGCGTAGACCACGCATTCAAGGTAGGGAGAATCATCCAAGGTAGAAAGAGGGCGGGAAAGTCGACGTGCTGCTTCTTCCTGGACGTGAAAAAGGCATACGATACTGTATGGAGAAATGGGCTGTGGAAACAACTGTCCAAGGACGGGATCAAGGGGGAAATGTGGCGAGTGCTGAAGAAGATGACAGAGTGTACGAAAAGCGCAGTCATGCTGGACGGAGAACTGTCTAAATTCGTCGACATTGAGCAGGGGGTCCCACAAGGTTGCACGTTGTCCCCAACACCGTTGCAGGTGTTCATCAACGATCTGTTGGAAGCCGTAGAGGCAGTTCGGAAGGGGGTAAAAGTAGGGGACACGGAAACGTCGGTGTCAGGAACGCTGTTTGCGGATGATTTTGTCGGTATGTCGGACACCCCTGAGGGACTGCAAC